TATTATTTGGATTCAAATGACACAAACAGGACATAAATTGTTAATTACTGAGCTGCTGAAAGGCAGATGTCAGTACTTTGCAACGAGCAAGGATAACTGTTTTATCCTGTTTGAAGTCACTGACAGAGTCACTCTTGGCATGAAAAGTGTTTAATAAATATAGAATGATCCCTTTTATTGGAATCAACTGATCATAGTTATGTATAGTGAATTAGAGTGATACTGTCTGATATTTAACCCACCCTGTTCAACCCACAGATATGATCTCTTTATCTTTTCAAGCTGAGATGAATCATAAATCAAATTAAATCATCTCAACCATAAAAAAAAATGTCTCTCCTCTCCTTTCCTCTCCTCTCCGCTCCTCTCCTCTCCTCTCCTCTCCTCTCCTCTCCTCTCCTCTCCTCTCCTCTGTTTTGGGACACTCTATCCTGTGCTAATGTACACTGCATTCTGTTTCACCAGTACAGTGGGAGTCATCAAAAACTGCAAAGAAACAGGCCACATTTCTCCCCTAGCCCAGCACTTTTGCGTGTCTGCAAGTGTGCATGTGTGTATGTATGTGTGTGTGTATGTGTGTGCCTGATGAGAAGAACTGCTCAGCAATATTTAGCGTTACTGCGACAGAACAGCTTTAGGACAGAACAGAGACTCACCTTCAGGAAAGACGAAATAAGAGGCAAAAAGAGACAGAGAGTGGGAAAGAGGCAGAAATGTGATTTTTGACACTTGAAATATTTTGTTTTAAGTTTTAAGTGAGGAAAAAAAACCCCCACCCAAACCACATGATAACAATAAAATTATAACACAAATAATAAGTTAAATGTAATGCTGATACACTAAGTGATACTGAAAGATGCTTAAATACTGCAGATGTGTAGTCACACAGGGGTGAGATATGATAATGAGAGATACATCTGAAAAAATTAGGTCTGTTTATACAATGATGAAAAACAAGTGGACCTGCACATGCTGCCTGCCTGTCGCATGGCTGCCTGTACACCCACCTACATCCACCTACACACATCCTCACTCAAAATGTACACAGAGCAGATGGGCAGCGTCTCTGTGTTTGGTGTACAACACAGGTGTCGTCCTTTGACGTGGCACCGCGGCAATTAAAATGCACCGGACATCTATCACGACTAACCTCAGGCCTGACACACACACACACGCACACACACACACACACACACACACACACACACACACACACACAGACGCGCGCGCGCACACACACACACACACACATTAAGCCAGTTTTTTTTTCTTTGCTCAAGATTCAAATTAAAGAATTTGCTTTAACAGGGTTTACAGTGTGCACACACACAGAAAAACAGGGGAAGATGGAAGAAAATGTTACCTTAACAGTGGATGGATAACTCTTTACGTAACGACAATACTGCCTCATTTTCTATTTTTAGTTTAAAACAAAAATATATAGAAGGTCTTTTTCTCTGGCACTATGAATCATTATCAGTCTCATAATGTAAAACAAACATCATGACATGATTACAACAGGAGTGAGTGCACCCCTGAGCAAGATTTTTTACATGTTACGTGATTCAAAGTCGTATCGGCTCCAAATACCTGTCTAATTTCAAAATTGAAGAGCACGGTTTTCCTTTAAAGTAAAAAATATTTCATTCTCTTTAAAAAATGCTTTAGGAAAACTATATTGTTAAACAAGTGGAAACCCAACGCAGTGAAACTAATTACACCTGTGATTAAAAAAACATCAGTGAAACAAAAAGGAGATGATGGTGTCTGTATCTCTGAACTGTGCTACTTCATCGAAGAGAATTAGCAGAGGAATTGAAAACTCCAACCGCAAGACTTCACAAAAATGGAAAAAGGATACAAGAAGATCAATGAGCCTCTAAAACCCCTCCCCAAAAATCAGTGGTGCTCAGCTCTAGCAACAATCAAGAGGTATACAAGTAGCTATAGCGCCAGTGGCTGTCCATGGACTACTGCACAGTCCGGCTCTTTGCACAACCGTTATCAGTGGAAGTCAGAGTCTCTGTGACAGCTCGGACAGTGTGAAGGACATTGCATAATGTCAGCCTCTGTGGATGCTGGTGGAGAAAAATACCTAAAACAAATGCTTTGGGTGCTCTTTGACAGAAACTACAAGGTTAAACTTTACTAAAACAGTAATGCAGTCACAGGAAGGAGGCAAGGGAGCTCCCCTTAAATTATGAGGAGTGTAATCACTTCTATTTCTACTGCAATAATAAATAAGACACACGAAGGTACACGTTTTACACCATTCAAACATTTCAAACAGTAAGTACACACACATATATATATTCCTCACAAATTAAAAACCTCCCTAAAAATAAAGTATGGCGCTGTTAGCGAAGTGTGAGGATGACAGCAGACAGAGAACACCCAGAGCTTTCCACTTTTGGCTACAGTTCACACTCATGTACTTTGCAGGGAAATATCTTTAGAAATTACTCTCACGTCCTGGGTCTGATACAGACACAATGAGTGACGCCTAGCATGCTTTGGCATTTGAATTAAGAGTAAAACTAATTTTCAATATGCTGAATGTCAACTAATACTTAATCTAAACACATGAAGCACTTTAAACCTTTATGCATGAGTCTGAAGTGTGCCTGTGTGTACTAAGACCTGTTTCAGTGCATCGGATGTGTGTGTGTGTGTCTTATTAGGCCATATGTGTTTGTCAGCGTGTGTATGTGTGTGGACCCACATATCCACTAGTGATGATGAAACACATTGTTAATGTTGTGGGTTATTTTAGTCCACTGACAGTTGTTGTAGAGGGTGTTGTGTGTTGTGTGTTCATGTGTGAGGCCAGTTGTGTGTGTATGTGTGTGTGTGTGAGTTGGTGTGTTTAATTGGACCTCCCTGAGCCAGTCTCCAGGTGACGGAACTCATCTGCTCTTTCCCTGATTAAGGACAACAGACGGACACACACACACACACAAACACACACACACACACACACACACACACA